TCGGGCAGCGGGCAGCGGGGCGTCCCCTGGGCGCCGCTGGCGGGGGTTTCTCGGCGGAGCGGTGCGAGTCCGGTCTCGCTGTAAATAACAGTGCCCGGGAGGACTGGCCCGCAAGAGGCAATCCAGGGGTTTGTGCAGCATACAGGTTAGGTTTCTGCTGTCAGCAGGCGACATCCTGCGTGGATCTCGTTCCGTGAGTTTTTGGTAGGCTTTCAGCTGCAGCTCAGTACCAAAATACTGAATAAAAATCATGAAGGTGACTTGCTCTGAGGGGCAGCTACATCGTGCACAGTGCATCATTGCATTTGATCCTCGTGTGGTTTTTGTAACACATGCAAAAGTTTGGTTGTGCCTGAACTATTTTTTTTTTCCTTCTGTTTGGTGAGACCCCGTTGTTCTACAACCTGTTTATTCTGTGAACTCATCGTTGTTTGGGTCAGATGGATAGGATGGAAGTTTGGGTTGGGTGGCGTGAAGAACCCATGCATCTGCCTGCTGCCTTGGTTCACAACGGGGAATCCCAGCTTGTTATAGGTCAAAATACAGGCAGAGTGTATGATGCCCTGCTGTACAGGGTACACCCGTGTCCATACATCAGATGAAGCTATGAATTAGTTCAAGGATAAATTAATAGTTTTAAATCATGCAGTTGTTTTACATGAGTGAGAATTAAAGAATGGTGAGGAATCTTTGTTTTGGATTTACCTTTATTTCAATATTTTGAACATTTTGCCTCATTTCTTATTGCTGTGTTGGCTGTTGCTTACTACCTTGCCAGCTGATTAGGTCGTCATCATGCTGACATATTGTTGCTGATGTACATCAGCAGAAAGACCATTATCGATTGTGAGGGGAATTCATGAAAACAACACATTGACCATCCGGACTTCTTTTTAGGATTAGTTCCAGGTTTCATGGACTTCTATCAGTAGCATTAATATTACCCATGGAATTAAAATAGGAAGAAATCAAAGTCCTTAAAGATTTATTGCATGTCCTGTGTTGCTTGTCTGAACACTGTTACTCTTAAGACCTTGTACTTTTCTCATTTATTACCTTTCAGCTTGAAAGTTTCATTGTGGGTCACTGACATTCTTTATTGTCCCGTGGTTGTTAATTTTTCTATAAATACTAGTTCAGTCTTAAAAGAACTGAACAAACCGGGTTTTGTACAGTTTAGAACTAAAGTTGCATATTTCAGATAAGGCTAAATCATCATGGTTTGTGGTATTATAGATCCTAGCCAAAATAGATACATTTTTTTTGGCATGGATTTTCTGGGTACATTGTTCCTGTTGACATATATTGAGTTTCTACTGGAGCTGGTAATAACAATAATTTTCATAAAGCAGAATACGCTATTTTAGATTACAGTCCAAACGTTGACATGAGGATTTCTACAGATTTACAGTGTTAGATGAACATAAACTTTAAACCCAACCTGCTTATTGAGTAATAAGTTCCTCAGTACTCCTTACTCAGTAGCTAAATTAAACAGTAGTTTGCATACTGTCAAGCTGGAGAGGAACAGGTTGGACAGGGCCTACCAGGCTTGCTTTTTAAATCCTAACCCTTCAGACACTGGAATGCTGTTAACATTCTCACCTAGTCGCTTTTCCAGGCTTCTCACTGCAGTTAGTCTCTCACCCACAGCAGAGGGCACTTCTGATTTAATACTACATCAATTTTGCACCACCTGTGTAGAGAAGCTCCCTTTCAGATTTATACAAAGGAATTTGAACATGCATGCACATGCATTTTCTTCATAATATCTCCACAATTACTTTTGCAACGTGTCTCTTTAGATTTGAGAGTTGTAACACAAGACTGTGTTGCATTGATACTAGAGAAGGTTTGATGGCTGGTGGTGAATGAAACAATGCAAAAAGCACGAGATTTAAAACCAAATAAATTAGATTTGTGGTTATCTTAAATTCATTAGGATTGATTTTATAGTCCTTTAACATACAGAGTTTGCCCCATGGAATAGCTGCAGAATAAAATCTCTGAGAGCCAGACATACTTATAGCTCCTATTTAGAATATTCCATGATCCTTGTTTCTACCTATTTATCAGGTTAATGAAAAGTTCCTTTATACAGGGATGTTAGCTAATGTCTAATAGCTGTTTGGTCTTGGGCTGCACAGTTAGGAATTGCATGCATTTTTATGTAGCATAACTCATAAAGTAAAATTAATATATTGTAATAAAATGTCACATACTGTAATAAAGTCACTTAATAAAGGAATTCTATGTTTCCATAATTTATTTCCAGTTATGTTTTCTCAAAACACTTAATACATACCAAAGCAAGAACATAATTAAGATTATCTCATTGTATTCAGACTCAGCTTCTCATATCTAAAACTCACGGTCTCTATAATTAAGACTGACTCCACTCTGAAGATGCTTGTAGTCATATCTGGTTCTGCTCCTAAGTAGTCCCGTTGAAGCCATAACTACAATTTCTGATTTTAAAGTTGAGTATTTACAAGATCAAGATCTGTGCAGCTGGATGCCTTTCTTTATTGTAATATATTTTCTTACAACTCCTAGTCTGGTTTTGTTTAGTACATTTATTACCTCTTCTAGAAAACCAGTCTACCTTCCCAATTTAATACTAATCAGATTATTTGTCCCGATTTCTAATGAAATCAGATCTATAGTACCAAGGGGAAAAGGTGTGCATGTCCAAATAGCTTTAGTGTGGTTGATTTCAGTGAAGTTTGACTGAGGTATACAGGTGTCAAAAATAAGTTGCTACAGGTTTTGTGAGACTAAGGAGCTGTGGAAAGGAAACAAACTCCACCTGTGTCTTGAATGTGGAAAAAGCTGTGGTGTAAATGCATATATTAATAGATGCCACATTATCTGTGTAGACCAGAACATTGCCTTACAGATGTATACAGTAAAGCTTTAATTTGTACAAGCAAGCACCTGACATCTGATCAGAAGGACGTTGGAGTTGATTTTTCCCAGTGCTCACTGGATTATTTGTGAGTGCCTTCAGCTTCCTTTGTTCTTGTTCCCATGACTTGGCAAACATCTTCCTTATCACAACAGAATCTTGTCTCTTCCATTTGAGTAAGAATGACGTTCTCTATTTTTCCAAGAAGTAGTTTTACACAAATTATATGCCAATGAGTTAAGTATAGGGCAAATAAAGCAATAAATGAAAATAGTATTTCTGCAGGTTTCACCACATTTGCTGATGTGCTATCTTAGGTTTATTTTACTATAGGATGAAGAAATTTGTACTCTTTACACCTTATTTGAAAGAGAGTATGAAGAGATATCCTTAAATGTTGCTTTTGAATGTCCCACATAATACTGATTCCAGGAAATAATTTCTTGCATTCTCTCTCCATCTTTGCTCACACCGATACGGAAGATGAATGTCTACTACTTTTTTTTCCACTGTTTCTTTTCTGCCTTCACTCTTTCTTGTGTATCCATTATCAGAGAGACAATTGTGTAAATGGGACATAGGCTTCAGAACTTCTATCTGGCAGATTAGACAAGTCAGATTTTTTGGCACCAGTTATGACAACTTGGGAAACTGGAAGTACTCACTACTGGGGAAGATTAACTAAATTGTAAGCTGCCACAGTCTTTTAGCTCTTAAGTTTGAGGGTGGTATAAAAAACTTCCTTGTACAGTTTTGTTAAAAGAAAGCATAAATAGATGGTGTCTTCTTTCCTTCCTCTGCAGCAGCTGATCAGCTCATTACTACTTAGGTCCTACAAATAGTAATGCCAGCAATCTGATTGGTAAAATACTGAATTTTGAGCTTGTATTTTGATAGGCACAGCATAGGAAAGAACACATTTTTTAATTGTCTATTCTTTTGCTGGTCTGGGATCTTCAGCAATCCTTCCCTTAAGAAAATGTGTAGTTCCATGAGCACTGGAATTAAAGGAGCCTGGTTTCCTTCAGATTTGGTTCTCTTTGTTGGTTGATATTGATATACAAGGTGTGAACCTTTCCTTCATGGGAGCAGTTTATAGATTCTCTGCTTTATTTAATCACCTGTTTTCAAGAAATAGTTGAATTTCTCAGTCCTTAATTGCTTTGTTAGATCTAAGGAAGAATGATCAACAGATTCAGAAGTTTTGGAGGAGGAGTAGAAGCAATGGCATATAATCCCCAGGCATGTGTGCACAGATGTGTGTATGCAGTGTGAATATGTATACCTGCAAAGCCCTGGAAGTCATATCTCAGTATCCTTTTTGTGGGTCATTCCTACTTCCTACTGCATCCTTGGTTAGATGTCCTTTAATGCTATAGTTTTCAATATGTGTCTTATATTAATAGAAATTGTGAAAGGACTGTGAAGCTTTTTTTTCTTGTCTTTGTAGGATAATACATTGGTGTACAGTTGAGACAATGGAGTCCATGCTGAATAAATTGAAGAGTACCGTTACAAAGGTAACGGCCGATGTCACCAGTGCGGTCATGGGAAATCCTGTTACCAGGGAATTTGACGTTGGCCGACATATTGCCAGTGGTGGTAATGGGCTTGCTTGGAAGATATTTAATGGAACTAAAAAATCAACAAAACAGGTGGGTTGTCAAGTAAGGACCTAAGTTTATAAGCATTAAGTACTGATAGGTAGCAGCTGGTAAGTGGCATTTAAAAACAAAATCCAACTGGGCAGACTAATGCTAAGGGTAGTACTTTAAGTAAAACGAAACAAAGAACTCAACACTATTTAAATATAATATTCTCAGCTACATACGTAATAGTTGCTTTAAGCCTTCACTGCTGGACGAAGAAGTGGTTGTGCAATCACAGCATACAGTTTGAGTCTAAGATCAAGAATTAATCTGAATTAAAACTGATCTGACAAGAAGGAAGAAGTTTGTTTTAACATGGATCAGTTCCCCAATTTGTTGTAGCTTGTGCTTTTTTTGGCAGCGGTGCTGGGGTTTTTTCAGTTTAAAATAATAGTGAAGTATGCCATCATTTTTTTGCAGCAAAAGAGACTGTAGTTTTTTGCTCAGCTGCCATACAGAAATGGAGGGAAATGTTAAATCACGAGATACAGTAACAGGAAGGCATGGGACAGAGGAGGAGGTTGTGGAGGATGAGAGTTGTGCCTTCCCTGTGCTGCTTTCATATCAGTGTTGTTCCCTTTTAGTTTCCATAAAGTATTAGGGTTTAGAGCACTAGT